ATCCTGTCTAGATTCATGGTTCATGCTGTATCAACGTTGTCAATGTGCATGTGTAAAATCCTCAACAGTCTTGGACAATACTCTTATTGTTTCAACTATCTCAAGCATCTAACAATCCCCCGAACGGAAAATCTTCGGAATGAACATGGAGTGCTTCGGTACATTGACCACTGCAAGCCATCCCACTTTAGGCTCAATCATATGTAACATATGCCAACCCCGAGCGTCGATCGCATCGGCTCTGTTCGAACGGACCCCATCAACGGACAACCTGCCCTGGGCCCCAAACGGTGGTCACTCTCCGGAGATCATGGGACGATCGGCGTAGCTACGGTCGCATCCGAGGTAGACGATAAATGTGCAACGAACACACCACAAAGCTAGACTACAACGGTTCAGTCAGGGAGACCCGGCTTTATCTTCGTATGCACTATGATGCACTGAACATGCAACGTGTTTAGCCCCCCCACCCAACCGCTTCCTAATACAAATGCACACAACATGAACATCACTAGCCCCCCACCCAAACCCCCCGAAACCCCCCGAACCCCGCCCCTGCCCCCATCTTCCATATTCCAATGCGTGTGTTTGTGTTCTTGCCCCCCAAAAGGACTGTATGAAAAAGCAGCTTCACTACACGCGCGGTTTTAAGCCCATTGGCATAAACATGTGTGTTGATAACAGCACTCACTATCAAGTCTTTCCTTGAGTTGTTTCTCCAGGTATGCCACCTCCCGGCTCTTTGGATTCAGAGTCTTTGGCGCAGATGAGGACTGCATGACCATGTGTTTACGCCTGTGAGTTTGGCCTCATGGCTGAGAGTTTGGCCTCATGGCAGCCTTGGTAGGTTCCAGCAGGTTGCCACAGAGTACGAGCAGATCAAAAGTGCAGGGATTGACCCTCAGGTGCAAGAGCTGGCAGATCACCATGGCCTAGGCGGGCAGATTGTGTCCAAGTTGTGTCCGAATGGCAACGTAGACAGTTCATCATATTCATCGTTGACCAGTGCGATTCTCGGGTTCCACATGTGTGACTCCTGACCAGATGAACGCGTAAGACGGGCGCTCAATGAGGAAATGAAAAAGCGCAAGGACACGCTGCTTGGCAGCAGTAAGCAAATGTGGAACACATTTTGACTCAGACAATGGAACTGTCTTGGGATTTGGAATTTGGATTCAGGTTCGAATCAGATATGCAAGCACTTTGGGTCGGACTGGAAGGTTCAAAGAATCCGGCAGGATGGGACTTAGGGGGCCTTGAGATTCATGTTCCGCTTGTCGAAGTCGCGAGATTGTATCAAGCTATCACAAGGCAGCAATCAGTAAACTGAAGATCGTACACTTCCAGACATGCAGTTTTAAGCAAGTTTGCAACTGCATCAATGAGTTGTCTTGGAGGAATGCTGATGATGAAGGTCAAAGACATGCGCATGGGCGTATTCAAGGGGATGACAGCTCTGACCAAGAAGGAGTGGGTGCTTTGGGAAGTCTGTCGGGTGTCTAAGATGCTTTGGTACTCGTACTTTTGCGCTTTTGTTTTTTCCTTCGCACACATTCTTCATTGGCTACAGAAAGCAATCGTGAGCATGTCTTTGAGAAACCTGATTCATAGTCATTACACACCTTCTGACTGCCTGTGCTGCCTGCTCCTCAGATCCAAGAGTTCGCCAAGAGAAACCGCTTGGACGCACAGGCCGCCGTGAAGTTGGGAGAGGCCTGGTGAAACACACACACACACAGCATTTACACAAGGTTGTTGCCAAGGACACCATCTTTGTTTGATGTTGAATCAAATCGATATTATTAGTCACATCGTATGTATTGTCGTGCTGTCATGCATTTACACGGTGCTTCTACTTTAAAGTTGTACTTCTCGAGGTCATGGAGAATCGCAGCGATGTTGATGGCGACCTCATGAAGCTGTCCAAGCTGCTGAGACGCAATGCCCTGTGCTTTCTACCAAACCCTGGTAGGTTGACCATGCTTGGTAGTCTATTCTGTTCATTTTTGGTGGTCAACCAGGGTGCTCCTGTTTTGACCCACAACCATGTGTCTCATTCAGTGGAGATCAGACCATTTTGAAAGTTGAATCTGAAAAGTGGCTGGAAGAGGGAACAGCCACAATCCAGAGAAGGACGGGTCAACTGCAACGAGTCAAAGAGTGCCTTTTTCTGGAATGTCAGAGATCACAAAGGGAGATACCGCTGATTTGCTTTCAAGATGTTAGTGGCTTGAGACATGTCCAGTAAGACAACTGATGGGCAAGCTGGAGTACGTTCAACACTTATTGTACACTTGGTATCTATCTATTTATCTATCTAAATCTATCTAATTCTATCTAATTCTATCTAATTCTATCTAATTCTATCTATTTCTATCTATTTCTATCTATCTATCTATCTATCTCTATCTCTCTCTCTCTCTCTCTGTCTGTCTGTCTCTGTCTGTCTCTGTCTGTCTCTGTCTGTCTCTGT